TTCCGAGGGGGCTCCCCCCCCCCCGGGTGCCAGCCAGGTCTCGGTGATGCACGCCAGGTCAGCCTGCTCCTCCCCAATCAGATCGTGAATAAGGGGGGCCTTATTATTGACTGACCTGGCATTCAGCAGCAACAGTCGAAAGCCTGGGCCTCTGTAGGCCTGCTGACCAGAGTCTGGGCTTGAGCTCCGAAGGCCGGCACACGCCACCGGTATAACGCATCAGGGGCGTCTTCCCCTTAAACGGCCTTCCCTCTGGCTCCCGCCATACCGCCCCATGCCCGTCACCACCTGAATGCCCGCCCTAAACCGCCCAAGGTCCTCCTATTCATATTCCTGAACTCTGGTCCTACCTGCACCAATGACCATTACTAAGATCTCCATCCCCTGGTTTTTTTTGGGAGGGGGGTTGCATCATCATCATCAGCCAAATATGATAAAACTCAATACAAAAATGATATTAAAGCTGAGATAATAGATAGATAAAGCTGAGAAAAAACAAGGAAGCAACTCTTGAAAAAGCTTGACACCATTATCATTACCATAATGAACTAAATGATTTCTCCCTGAATATATTTATGGCTCTTCCACTCAGTAGCGTTTAAGGTGCATTATAACGAAACCATAAAATATAGCACTTTTATGGCTAAAAACATGGCAGACAGAAATATATTAGAATAAAAATGGGGAAACTTCAACCCGAATAGTTATAAAAACTGGGGGGGAAAAAGGAGAAGTATTATTGGACGGTGGTGGTTTTGCCAGCCATTTGAAGGGCAATAATGTGAGAATTAATCTAGCATTGCTAAAGAGGGAGTTGCACAACTGAAGCATGGCTATATAGAAAGCCCTGCTCCAAGTCTACAGCAATCTCATCTACTTAGAAGAGGGGTCAGCAAACTACAGCCTAAGGGTCAAATGTGGCCCACTGCCTGTTTTTGTATGGCCCATGAGCTAAGAATAGACAGGCAGGTGGACGGCAGATCACCAGGCCGGAGTCTCAGCTGAGCTCCCAGGGTGAGGAGCAGGGCTGAGGGCTGGGGATGGGTGTTTTAGGCAGTAGCAGCAGCCTATCAGTGGCTTCCTTGTTGGCAGGCTGGTGCCATCCAATGGCTGCAGTACTCTTTGACCTGCAGCTGTGGGCCAACTGTGCCCATGGAGATGGAGGAGGGACAGGATCTGCCCCTTTACAGAAAAAGTTTGCTGACCCCTGATCTAGAGGTATGTCCTTTCAAATAATATCTCTTTTTAAAGAGTGGTATCTTTACAGCTGTATATAACCTTAATACAGAATACTGCAATGAATGTTTCTCCCAGAAGTACACCATTTCATGTTCTTTCCTTTCTGTGAAGTAAGATTTTTCTCTAATAGCCTTTACTTTAGGTAGTTATCTCCCTCAAGGAAACATGCCAGGATAGTCTTTCTATCTGCAATCTACAATTTATTGAAAACACTGCCTTAAATTTGGATTATCATGAAAGATACAATATAACCATCTACATGAATCAATTAACACAGGTAGTCCCTGGATTAAGAATGCCAGGTTTACCGATGACCCATAGTTAAGAACAGAGCCTATGGTAGCAAAATTCAAGTTAAATACACAACGATTCGAGTTAAATATACAATGGTTTGAGTTAATTACACAATACTACTTATACACTATTATACAATAATATTGTTCTGGCTTACGTACAGATTCGACTTAAGGACAAACCCTGGGAATGGAACTCATTCTTAAACTGGGAACTACTTGTAATCACTCTGCCAAACATTGCAGGAGAAGATCTATGTTAGTCCATGGTGGCAAAAACTCAGGAGTATGAGAGCAATTCTTTTGATGAATAAATTTTATTAAAAGTCATAAGTAAGGTAAAGTAGGGGAAGATAGATTGGGAAGACACTCTATGGCAGATCTCATAGTGACTGTTTTGGAAAAACAGGAGTGTACAGCATCATCAAGTAAGAAATTGCTGAACTTATGTACTGTACAACAAAAGATTTCAGACAATCTCAAAAGGCCTCAATAAACACAATGAACTTTTTAACACATTACAATGATATTTGATAAGATACTTGTAATCTGTCCCACATGTAACCTGTAACCTACATTTGGATAACCAACCCATCTTCCTCTCCTTCTCCCTCCTACTTTCCCTCCCCACCTCACCTCAATTTAAATCCTACACCAGTATAGCTACTCTATGCATCTGATGAAGTGAGCTGCAGCTCATGAAAGCTTATGTCTTTTAATTAAATTTTAATTAACTTTAATTTAAATATTAGTCGGAAAAGGTACTGCCAGATTCCTTCTGATATTTAGTCAGTCAGTGATCCTCCCTCTTCCTGATATCTTCAAGCTACTTTGTACAGTATACAAATTCACTTGTTTCTTAAAAGGCAAGTGTTAGTGCCAGTTTTAAGGAAAAGCAATATAAATGTGCACAGAAAAATAATAATGGTGTATTGCTATACCCATAGTTCTGCACTATAATAATACAGAGGTCTCAGACTCAAATCATCATGAGTGCCATTATCATCATTAGCCCAATGGCTGCAACTCTAAAGCCTTTTCATATACTGATGCAAAAATTTGTAGTGAGTCAAAAATGAAGAAAACGGAGCAGTATCACAGTATGCTATTAAACATAAATGTATTAAATAAAAAAAACCTGGTAAATTAGAACTATTTGAGAAACAGAGCCATTGCACTTTAACCACCTAGCTAAGCAATGCTTTTCCTTACCAGAAAAATCAATATTTGGTTTTATTAACTCAGTTGATATATATATATAAAGATGATATCTAGGATGATATAATCTAGGAATCCTATGCCACTAAGAAGTACCAAAATACTGTTTTTCTTCTTCTCTTTCCTGGCTGAGCAGAAAGATTTTTTGTTCTTTTGGCTTTCTTCTCATTCTCTTCTCTCTCCTTATAATTATAATCTTTTCTGACCTAGCAGAACCCTTCCTTCCTTTGCTTAAAAGGGAAATCTTGCTTACCTGCTGCCTTTCCCAACCTCATGTGGCAGAGAGACCCTTACAGTGTGGCAGTGAGATTCTCCTCCCCAGGTGCCTGCTCCTTCCCTCCCAGCCTCCTGGCCTGTCTTCCTCAGCCAAGCTCATTTATCATGGCCTCTTCTTACAGCTGCCTCAGAAGCAGTGCCTGCCTCGGTAAGAGATTTTCAGAGGGCAGCACCGCCTGGCCTGATAGGCTTTGAGGTGCCAATTACATGGCCCAGTGGATCTGGTCCTGCTGTTACCAAGAGAGCTGCTGAATTAAACCTGGGAGAGTCGTATGGCTGCTCCTTCCCTGGAACACCCATCATGATCTAAACTAGTGTTCCTCAGCCTTAGCAACTTCAAGATGTCTGGACTTCAACTCCCAGCATGCTGGCTGGGAATTCTGGGAGTTGAAGTCCTGACATCTTGAAGTTGCTAAGGCTGAGAAACACTGGTCTAGACTGTGCATCTATGCAGTGTTTGGCATCCTGGCCTTCCTAGATAGGATCCCCAGTGCCTACAAAGTATTGCTGTAGGTCATGGAAAATGACTTGGAGAGCTGCACGTGGCTTACAGGCCATGAATTGGAAACTCTTGCCTTAATAATTGATCGCTACAATGACATGGACTCTTACCTGATAAAAATAATTCTTCTTGTGTTCTTGCTCTAGCTTGGTCAGAAAAACATCTTTTCTTCAACCATTCAGCTTCAAATTCACTGGTGTGGTCATCTGGCCATACAATATTTATCTTCTTCCATGAAATAGAAACAAACATTGAAAGACATGCATTTGCATTGCACGTAGCACAATTTGAATGCACTTTATTCAAAATTGTTTCATAGAGTTCACTTGGCCTTGCAAACAACGCAAGGCCAAGTGAATTCCATGCAAGTGAACTTCTTGTATCCTTGCAAAGAGTGAAATTTAACAGATACAACAGCAAAGTTCTTCACTTAGGAAACAAAAATGAAGCATATAGTTACAGGATGAGAGATAACTGGCTTGATAAAAAATAGTTGTTAAAAAAAAATCTTGGAATAGCAGTAGACTCCAGAAAATATAAGCCAGTAGAACGATGTGGTTGCAGAAAGGCAGATTTTAGGATACATCAACAGAAGTCTAAATTCAAAATCATGGGAAGTGTTCAATTTTATTTTGCTTTGGCCAAAACACCTTGAGTCATGTGTCCAGTTCGGGGTACCACCCTTTAAGGCAATGAGGATGATCAGTAGACTAGAAATTAAATCTGGTGAAGAGAGAATGAAGAAGCTGGATATAAAAACTATGGTTTTATTAGAATCACATACACTCTTTACCTTTTTCTGTTCTGTCAAAGTGACATCCTTCACCTTGATATTGATATCTAGATTTTCCAGAAGCAGTTTGCGTGCTTTAGCAGAGTGTAAGAAACAGTCTGGGCACTGGCAATTGTCCCGTAGCCACACTGAAGGGTAAAGGCTCTCACTTCCATCTTCCCAATGAACACAAATATACTGTTTTTTTTCCAGAGTTTCTACTTTCTGGATAGCTGTGCTGATACTGAAGGTCTGAACTGCCTGTGCTACTCTAGCTGAACCTAGCCAAGGCTTCCTGCTCAATGAGAAATACTTTTGATAACTAGGCTTGCCCTTTGGCGTTTGCAGCAGAAAACGAGAACAGTCTTCATAAAGTTTTGTTCTTAACAAGTTCCTAGCAATAAACATCCACATCTTTACTTTCACTTATTTGATCTTCCCTTCATCAATGCCTTGCCCTTATGAAAGTTGTCTTCCATCAGTTCTGTAAGGGAAAAAATTTTTTTGAATGGTTAGAAGGAAAAATATTCTACCTGAAGGAGTGTTTCTTTCTGCTTTCAGTCAATCCCTACCCACATGCCCATCTAAAGTCTTTCTGTCTGTATTTCTGAGTGTTAATTGTGTCCTGTTAAAGGGAAGAATTTTTTTGAATACTGAGTACAAAAGTATTTGCCCCTAAATAAATTTTTAGGTATTTTTATTAATTTATATTTATTTTAGAGAGGACTTGAATGCCCGATGGATAGAAAAGCAGAATATAAATTCAAATGATAAAAAAATAAATAAAATAACACAGTTTTGGAAGCAAGGCATCAAGCAGCTGTAACAAAATTAAGTGCTTTTAAATACATTTGGTAAAGCTGTTGATTCTTTTCCTTGTCACTTCCCTATATAGGTTAACCATTACATAAACTGTTTTGCTTGGTAAACTTGAATTCTCTCTCTTCCCCATCCATACTCTCATGTAGCTGTGAAAGCTGCATTGGCATCTTAGTAAACAAAGCTTTTCTGAGAATTTGAAATGAATGGCACCACAGACCACTGAATAGCTTCCTTAACTTCATTTCCTCCAAATATGAATGATTTCCATAATCCCTACTTTTTGGATGGAATTACATTCCCTCCCCCACAAAACCACAATTGAGCAAAAGTCTCTGAATTTATACACAGAAGAGTTCTATTTTGAAGAAAAGCAATACTAATTTATGACAAATTATCCATGTACTCATGGTGGGGGAAACTCAATAAATTACTGTGGCAGAATTTATGATAGAAAATGAAGATATGTGGAAAGACTAGCACAAAATAGTTTCTTTGTAATAACATATATTACAGACAAGAGATCATACAACTGGAAAATATTTAATCATTACACTCTCAATTTTCTGTACGTGCATGCAAAAAGGCAACTCTTACATCTTTCTACACTTATAAATGCACCCTTTCTTACCAAACACAGGCAAGTAAAAACATGCAGACAATTGGACTCACACCTCCACAATGGCCTGACATTCAAAAGATGCTGAAGGAAATGGCATTGTGTAATTAAGTGAAATAACCTGATAATCTACAGGTAGTTCTCAACTTATGATGACAATTGGGAACAGAATTTCCATTGTTAAGTGATGTGGTCGTAAAGCACAACCACATTGCTTAGTGACAGCAATCCTGGCAGTCCTAGTTGCCATTGTTAACTAAAACCCATGGTCATTAGGTGAGGCAACTTTCTGCTGGCTTCCCACAACCAAAGTCAGTGGTGAAGCCGGCAAGAAACTGTAGGTCCCACGCTGGCAGCAGGTAAGTGGTTGCTGCTCGGTGGGGGGAAGGAGTGAGGGGGTGCACAGGGGAGGGTCAGGGAGGGGCTGAGAGAGTGTGAGGGGGTGTGTGAGAAGTGCTGTGTGGGTTGGGGAGGGTGTGTGGGGGTGTGCAGAATGCATGAGAGGTGCTGCATGAGTCAGGGAGGGTATGTGGGTGTGCACGAGAGGTGCAGCGCAGGTCGGAGAGGGTGTGTGGGGCTACAGTGCGGGTTGGGAAGGGTGCACAGGGGTGCGCCAGAAGTTGGGGAGGGTGCACGGGGTTGTGCGAGTGGCTGGCGTGGCACGAGTACAGAGGGGCTGGGGGAGGGTGCATGGGTGGGGGAAATGACCGCAGCGACTTGCAATCTTCTCTGCTGGCTTCCCCTTTGACTTTCTCTGGAAGCTGGCAGGGAAGGTTGCAAATGGAGATCACGTGATTGCGGGGCACTTGGCAACTGGTCATAAGTGTGAATGGGTTGCCAAGCACCCAGTTCGCAATCACTTGACTGTAGGAATGCTGGGACAGCCACAACTTCAAGGACTGGTCATAAGTCTCCTTTTTTGGCACCATCATAACTTTGAACAGTCACTGAACAAATGGTCATAAGTCGAGGATTATCTGTACTACATAAGTTATCTCCTTATTGCTCATATTGAATATTTTCACTGTTGCTGATGCTAATGGCTGGGTGTCAGAGAACATGGGGGGGGGGGCAATTACACTTCTTTTCAGTGCTATTTACAACAGGGAGAGACCCAACTGAAACCAGAGCAAGGCAGCACATGGAACAGGTAATACAAGTTTAACTGTAGCTAAATACACTGTTGTACACTTATGGGACTCCCCCAATGAAAGTAATACAGTACATTAAATTTTATGTGGCATGTGCATGTATGGGCATATATGAATGTAGCATTAAAATGAGGCAGGAAAAGCTGCTTTCACATCTCTTGCCCATCCACTGTTGTGATAATTGAGTGGCAATGGTGCAAACTTCAAAAATGGTCAGGCCAAGAGTTTTCTAGATGGCTTGCAAATCTGTCCTGCTGTTACCTATTCAATTATTAACAGAGGGAGAACATAGATTTACAATACTAGTCTATTTTCTTTGGAAAGAAGTCACAGAAGCTCACAGTTCCTATTTATTTCAGTTCCCTGGATCATCCAGCAGCTTTTTTTAAGGTAGTAAGAATTATGAGAGAAACATATAATTCCTATTCACCTCATAATTACATAGCCTATCAGATCTGTTGACTGTAACTGGTATAACTGGCTACATATATGTAACTGGTATTTAAAGTTTGCTATATTTCAAGAATCAGGTAAAGGTAAAACATACTTTGAGTTAAGTTCAGCTCCTGATGACTTCATAGTTTTCTTGGCAACCTTAAAGAAATTGATAAAGTATTTTAAATTATGTCTGGTAGGTGCCTGTTGGTGTTTTGGAGGGGTAGGAGAGGGGTATATAGCTTTGAAAAAAAATACCTTGCAAATCCCAGCAATGAAATTGCTGTTTGGATAAAAGTGCGCAAGGCAGAAGATGTACATAACATAGATCAGGATCACTGTCTGAATCCTGAACAACCTTCTTACCAACAACATATGGCCTTACACATGCTTATGGCCTATGTAGTTCTCTCTCCCCACCAACCCACACTTTAATTTTATTTATCCTGCTCAATTTTTAGACACTTTGAATTCTGTCATCAAGACTTTGGTTACCCATTATGTTAGTTTTGAACTTCTCAAGATACAGCTTTCGCCCCCCTCCCTAAATCACATTGCTTTTGATACCCAATCCCTTACTCTATTCAACAGAATTACTTACTATGCTCCACTTCTTTTCAGTCAAATGGCCTGTTGCTACTATTTTCTAGGCTTCTCTGTGTATTTATTTCAGGTTAAGATGTTCATGGATGCCTTTAAATGTTTCCCTACTCTGAAGAAGAGAAATACAGAAATTATGCTTAATTGTTGTGTTGATGATACACTATCGAAACATCCATTTGAAGAGGGGAAGATGCTGTTCTTTCTGAGCCTCCTTCTTCACATACACACCGGGTTCCTCTGCCCCCCCCCCCCCCCCGCATCTTTATTTAGAGCTGTAGAAGTTTCAAAGTTCTGGGCTATGATTTGAAATTTGGTGATCAAACTCTTTAAAGAAGCAGGATACAAAACTGGATGACTGAATGGTGGAAAATGGTCCCCTTGGCACCAGCTTTCATTAATCCTGTGCTATCTGTCCTTCGAGTACCAACAGATGCCAGCTACCACTGCTGAGGATGCAGGGAAGTCAGCTTGAAATATGGATTCTTTCTCCCAAAGCAAATTCAGGTCTTGAACACAGAATTCAATATTCAAAATTCTGCTGGCTAAATTAAGCCAAATTTAAAGTTTCTTTTTCTATAGCAAAATTTGCTTTGGACAGCTTCTTAAAGAAATCTTGCTGGGATTGGTTTAACAAACTTTATTTATAATGAAACATTTTTATGTTACTAGTCTTGTACATTATGAGTTCTCTGAATAAAACTGAATATTAATTGGGTTTCTTATTAGAGGAAGATTAATGATAGACCAAATATCTTATTCAAAAGGAATTAACAGTGTTTAGTGCCACCAACTGGACATAAAATATGTATATGTTTGAGTGTTTAATGGCAATCAAAAATAAAATAGTTGAGTTATTCAGCCATTTGAACTGCCCACGTTTTTACTGGTTTCTAGGCAGTGATCCTTAATACAAACTGATAAAAGCATTTGCTCACAGACTTCTACATCACACAGTCTGTAAGTTATTCATATCCCCTGGATCTAGCCTGGCCTTTTTACTGGTTTCTAGGCAGTGATCCTTAATACAAACTGATAAAAGCATTTGCTCACAGACTTCTACATCACACAGTCTGTAAGTTATTCATATCCCCTGGATCTAGCCTGGCCTTTTGAGGAATGAGCGGCCATGCCTGCTTTTCAGGGCTGCTGGGACCTTACTTTCTCCCAAAGAAGTGTTGACTATAGTCTGGATCCAGCTCCCAGTCCTCTCCCTAGCAGGTTTCACAAGCCAAGTGAGGCAGGTGGCTAATTCACAGGTGGCAGAACTGAAATCAGAGAACTCTATCCACTTTCTTGAGATTCACAGGCTCAAAACCCCCCCAGGTCACAAGATGTCACCTATGTCATGTCAATAGATTCCATCCATCCATAAATCTGTGCTATCAATTTCCAAGTATTTATGGTTGATAATTTCGTTTAAATGATCAGTGTTCAATAATATATCAAGTTAATTTCTTGCAGTGTTAAATGAAACTTCTGGTTCAGTCATCTGCAGCAGGCCAAGTGAATTTATTAGAACTCACATGGTGGAAAAAGACTGTAGTTCATCCTCCAAGTTTGTAATCCCTTCATATTAAAATATTACATATCCCATAAATGTTACTCTGAGATACATACATTTACAAAAATGGAGATAACTCTGGTGGTGTGTTTGTGTATGCGTGTGTGTGTGTGTGTGTGTGTGTGTGTATATATATATATATATATATATATATATATATATAT